TGCCGCCTAGACGACAAACTGTCTGCTGCCCATCATCAGCTAATTGATCCGTTGTTCCTCGTGGCGTCCCTGTCGAGGTTCCATAAAAACGTCGCGCTCTAGAAGACTCAAAACCCTAATTTTTCAACTCTTGCGAAGCGTAGACCTTGAGCAGTCGGTCCTCGGAGGACTTACCGGAGTTTCGAAGCGCGACGAACGAGTGTATTTCAGACGGAGGTCATGAGCGCGATCGAAGTTCGCCGATTCTTCCCGACCTCGCTACCAGTCCGACATCACTAAGCATTTCGGGGATATGTTTTGACCGTAGCGTGCACTGCATGTGCAACAGCCGCGAAAACAAGGATGTCGACAACCACGCTCAGGAAAGGCCAGGAGCGAGGAGTCCGAGCCTCCCGCGGAATGGACAACGAGCACGACGTCGGGCAGGCGGGCGAATTGTGCACCGGATGGTCGGCCGAGTGACTGCTACCTTATTCAGGAGGCTAATTCGTGGTCCTGTAATTAATAACCTGAGCCGCCGGACCCACATTTTATAGCGAAGAACAACGAGGAGCGACCGGCAGCCGAGCCCGGTGCATAAGAAGCCCACATGGATAACTCAGGCTACTAGGTACATAGGTACCTAGGCCGAGCGAGAACCCTGCGCACGGCGCTCTACGGGACCATGCCGTTTACGATCAGTCTCGTTCCGTCTGTCGATCGATCCGACCTTACCCTGACCCCGAAACAGCCGGAACCGAACCTCATTTCTTCAGTAGTTCCTTCTCGTCCGGTTGAACCTGCCGAGAAGTCGGCCGCTCGTTCTGCTCCGTAATTTGGGCCGCAGCGCTATTCTCGATCAAAACTTGACCGTCTCCGCGCAGATCGAGCCCGGGACGAGATCTCGCGACGTCACGCTGCCGTACCTACGACGCCACGCAGCAATGGAACAGCAGAAGAAGCGAAAGCTAAAAACGTCCATCAATCACCTGTAGGAGGCGACGGAGTGTGCGAGCCTCACCAAAAAACCAAATGAAAAAGAGTAGAGACTATTCTTCCGACAGAGCGGAGTCGTTTAATGAAGTCGGTGTTTTTCTGCAGCTGCTGCTGGTGCCGGCTTCTGCTACTCGTGCGAAATGTCAATCATTCACATTCGCGTCGGCTCTTTCTGCTGTCTGTGCCTACTTTTTCTCAATGCTCTATTTGCTCTGCCCTCCTGTCCCCGCCCGAACAACGCTCCTTGCAGTCTCCCTCCCATGCGTTCGGAAACAGTATCGTTCGTTCTCACATTTCGTTCTTCCCCTCCTCTCGCTTCTCTCTCGGCTGCGGGCGACGCCACCGTTGTGGCTCGAAGCGCTTCTCTCGAGTCCCAATTTGATCTTGAGAGGTATGTTCTCCTTATTCCCGTCGCTCCTGGACCTCTATGCTCCTTCGTTGCTCCCCGATTCGTAGAGGAGGTGGGCTCCTGGCGAAAGTCTGAGACAGCACCGTCGACGACGTCATCGAGTCGCGAAACGGTGAACAACGTAAGCTTCGACGATGGAGACGTCCTCCTCCGACTTCTTTGCACTTGGCTGTATTGAGATCCTCTTTGCGTTGCCACCGATGATCTTCGAGAGCGAGGAATTGCGAGAATTTCGAGATTATTCTCCGTTCAGTGAGCGTGACTCAAGCTCATTACCGATCCCCCCCCCGGCCCCAAGCCGCCGATCCCTCGCCATAGGTATTCCTCCCTCCGAATACTTCGAGAAGGTAGAGGAGAAATCTCCTAGTGCTCTGGCAATAGGGTAGTTACGAGGAACCGGAGCCCGTTCGTCTCACCGAAAGTTCCCAACAGGATTCCGATACCGAAAAGAGGATCCCGGGGACCCGAGATCCGAACGAAGACAGTCGGCTCCGAAAGGAACCATGAGGCAACTGGACGCTGAGTGTGACGCAAGCGCACTGCTGCTGCTGCGGGGCGGCGTAAAGGACGACCACGACATGAACACCCGGATCGCAGAGTGCAAAAAAATTAAGAAAACCCGAACCACTCTGCTGAGTGAGAGCAACTCGCGGCTGCTCGCTCCTGCGCTAGTCCCCCGCTCGCGCCGGCGACGACGACGCAGACCTAAACTGCAATCGTAGCGTCGTGGCGGCTCCCTGTTCGGTTGTCGTTGTTCGTTGTGTTGTCGTTCACTGCATAGCAAGTAGAATGAGCGACATGGGGAGGGAGAGAGTGAGCGAACGAGCAAGCAAGGCTGCGCTGACGACGGAACTGCATCGCGATTTTCATACGAGGAACAGCTGTTGGCATCTCGTCTCCTGCCGCCCGTCTCGATGCTGCCGCTGGCTGCTGTCGCTGCGTTCGGTCGTTGCTTGCTCCGTCTATTGCTCTCTCTATTGCGTTCGTCTCTCTGTATAGTGACCCTCTCTTGAATACTCTCGGCATCCTGTCTGCTCCCGGATATCCTACCGATATATTGAAGGATCCGACAAGGCAGACGGTGAGCAAGAAGGATACTCGTCGCAATGACGGCGGGAGGGAGCATCAAAGGAACGAACACGATCCCGCGAGTCCTGTTCGTTTACTTCTGCCGACCACTGCGTTGGATTGTTCGAGCTCCTTGACGAGCGAGGAACCGCCGCGGCGTGGAGGGAAGAGATGGAAAGCAACAGCGTGGAAATGATCTCCGGGTTGCGAACCGCAGTCCGTCGCCATCATAACCCCGAACGACAGACAAGCTCACGTCGTCGTCTCGCAAGTTCCAGGGCTACACATTTGCTTTCGCCATCTGCAAGCTCCGCTATGGCGGACATTCGCTCTGGGCTCTTCCCCGTTCTTTCGTTCCGGCTTCCCGATTCCCTCGCTGTCGAAGAAGCTTCACAAGACTTTTGTTGTTACAGGGCGAGCCCACGCTGTTCCCCTCCAGTTTTTCCTCTTTCTCGCGAGACCTAGAATTGTTTCCCCAAAAGTCTTGCCGCGAGAGCTCTGCCGGAAATCTCGCGACTCCTTCCCCTGGGAAGGATTTCTATCGAGGGGCCACTCCGAGGTTCGTCCGATGATGCGTGCATCTTCGAAGAGTTAGGTTTCTGATCGACCCCGACGTCGCGGGCGAGCGGAGGCGCGGCCGCCGATCGCGTGGTAGCGAGCGCGTGTCTGTTCGTTCTTAATATGCACGACGGTTTTCCGTCATCCGCGATCGCTCGCTAACAGTGCTATGATGTGAGGGTAGGCACTTAGTATCCCATCGAGCTGAAGTTTTTGATTCGGGAACTCCAGCTAAGACTAGGGAAATTTTGAAGGCTCCCCGTGGAGGGGACCAAGGCTGCGTCGGCTGCCTGGAAGAGCACCACAGCTGATTGTGATACATGATATTCTGCGAAGAGCGGCCCCGAGCTCCGCAAGCAATCGCTGTGCGCATCGGAGTACCTGGACAGAGCGCGAAGGCTCGATGTCCTCAGTTGCGTCCCGGAGGTGAGTTCGGCGCGAAGAACAATGATGTCAAACTCCCGGCGAAATCACAAGAGAATCGATATATTACGTCATGCGAAAGAGGGCATTCCTGACCCTTATCTCCGAGATCTATCTGGTCCCTGGACGCTGACGAAGGAAGCGGGGATCCAAACCAGATCGATCGCAGGATGGAGAAAGCGTATTAAAACGTTTTATACTTACGCGACGTGTTTTCCGCGCCAGATGCTGAGTCGCCGGATGCATCTGGTATCGAGCGGAAGAAGCCCGGGAAGGGACCGAGCGAGCGGCAGTGAAAATGATGGAGCAAGAGAAATCGGTCTGTACGCAAGGGTTGCAGCCCGCGGTTTCGTAAGGTAGCGTTCCGGGTCAGAGCAAGATTGCCTGGAGGCCGCCAGGAGCGGGCTCCCGGACCAAGATCCCCCCAGCTCTCGAGAAGGCGAATGGAGAGAAGAAGAAGAAGTAGGGGGTCCAACGCAACAACTTTCAAGGTCGAGCCTTCTATCGGGGCATATCATGTCGTCGCAATGAACAGCCGAGCCCGGCGCTCTCCATGTTCTGAGGAATGTTGAGCCATGTGTGTTCCGATTTCAAGACATCTGGGCCGACTCTTTTAGAGGAGCATGCTCTGTCGGTGGCTTGTCACGAGCTTAGTGAGCTCGTCGCTTGATCACTCGTCCGCCTACGGAGCATCTTGACCAGGTTAGCCATGTGGCAGCTATTTTAGCAAGACACGCTAATCGAGCGCTACTCGTCGTAGCTGGACGTGAAAACTGCGGTTCATGTCCCGGCTACTTGTCTACGATTAGAACCACCGAATACCGCCTCTGCCATGAGTTTTGCAAGTCCTACTGGCATATCGATGGGTCCCGTGTTTCCATCAGCGTCGGTACGGTCATCCCAAACGACAAGGATGACATCCGGATACGTTTCCTCTGATCTACCCGTTCACGCCATCACCGGTGGAGGCAAGACGAAAAAACGAGGACGCTCCATCCGCACCGATTTACTTGGCCCTGCCACATCCACTCCGGTCGCTCGTCCCTTCCTTCACACCCATTACTCTGAAGCGCAGTGCTGCTAGCTCAGCCGAAAACTTGTCGTAACAACCCCCTCTCCCTTCCGCGAAAGCTTCCACAGCGATCGCTCCTCTCGCGGTCCCTTTTGTTCCTCCGACTGCATCCCTCCGCTGGCCATCTCACGAACGCACAATCGCGGGGGGATTACCCGGCAAATCCCACGGACAATCAAAGCTTGTCCGTAAAAGTCGGCAAGCTTCACACAAGTCCGCTCGGGACAGCGGTGCATAATCCAACGGTCACATCGCTCTCTCGCTCGTCTCCATCCACGTGAATTTTGAACTGAATCCCGCTTCGGAATTCCCACAGCGTTCGATCTCCTCGTTCGAACGAACTTCAAAACGCCATATGAGGATGAAATGTACTTTGCCTATCGATCCGAAAGCCTCTTTCGAAACTGTGCTTTTTGCCCGACTGATGACCGATCGCGGATATCCGCCCAATGACGATATTGGGTTTGGACGTGGGTGCGCTTCGAGTCGTCTTACCTTTATAGTGGTCCTGAGCGTGCTCCTGAACAGGACCATTAGACCCTGCTCCCGATCCTGTTGAGGGCCTCATCATTTCCATGAGTTGTTGTTCGAGAGGGTAACGCAGATTATCGAGGGGGCTGCAGCCGTTGCCGCTGCTTCCACTCAGACCCAACGAATGACGATCCTGGAAAGATAGGGAAATGTTGTGAGCTATGGAAATTCCCGTGCGACGCGGGGAAAATAGCTTTGAGGAGAAGCAAGAGTCGGGATGAATTTCCCAGCATTGTTGACAAGTATTTCGTCAGGGTGCCGGGAGGGACAAAAGTATCCTGACCGCATGAAGAATTAGCCGATCCTTTTTTTTCCATTTAGAAAAATTTATTCGCATTAGCCGATCTTGATTTCCATCTATTAGGGTACATCTGCTCCTCGGACTTTCTTACACAAGTAGTTGGGAAGCACCTCAGAGACGGCAGGAAGTATTCTCTTCATCGAAGATCCCCGCAAGGAGTTCCGCTGGGATGCTTGAGCTTTCAACCCCTGTTTGCTCTTATCCTCACGTTCATTTCGTCATTCGCTTTGCGTCTCGCATACCCTTCGCCATCGCGCAGCCAAACAAGGAAACTTTCCCTGACTTCTAGCGCTGGATCAGCTTTTGCTCCTCTCGAGCGAGCCTCGTTTGCGAGAGCGACGACGAGCGTTGGTGGGTACCATAACGGTACGCACTGAATGAACTTCTCGATTGAGTCGACAACCAAATCCCCCTCATCTCGCTCGTCGTTCACTACAACTTTTTCAGCCGTTTGCCTCGATTGAAATATTTTCCTCGCCATCCTGCGCGGAGTGATTCCCCCCATTAGGAGGAAATCCGCCCCACTCCGATTTGACGGCGGAAGCTTGTTTCGGGGAGAGCGGAGTGACTTTTCAAGTGAAGAGAAAACGAAGCGACGGAGACAAAGGAACCCAATGCTCCCCGGAGGAGCTCCCTCCTCTCGAAGATGAGGGAGTGATGTTGGGAGACTGAGTGGCCGAGTCGGCCGACTCCGAATGTGAGGATTCGAACCCCGCCATCACGACCTACCGATCCACCGCTCAGAGGGCTGTGAGTGACTCGGAACTCGAAAGGGTTGTAGGCACTCTGGTCGCACACAATACTGACGAGCTCATGATTTGTTCGCGTCTCTCCAAGTTTCAGGTAAGCGAAGTGCTCCTGGGGGGGCTTCTGTTCGTCAAAAGGAAACTTCTGTTCGACGTGGAGTGAGAAACCAGAAATCCCCTTGAGTGTTTCCGTTGAGGAACCACTCCAGCGTCTTCGACGTTTCCCCGAGCGAAAAAATGTCCGCTGCCGGAAAATCTCAGCCGGCGCTACGGTCGTCCGCCCGTCGAACGGACGATTGGCGCCAGCAGCCGTCTTCGACTGCTGGACGAATCGAACATTCAGAAAAGGGAAAGAAAAAAAGTAAATTTGAGCGAATTTGCATTTTATTCGCCGATGTCACATCGAGTGCTAGCCTCTTGCTCGTTTCTTTTCGACGACGCAGCAACAGCTGGTTCGCTTCCGCGGGCACCGCCGCGCCGCCTTCCCCCGTCGTCGTAGCGGGCTCCCTCAGAAGGAGCGACCGCAAACGTCATTTCTTTTTCCAGGACCACTGGAACACCATCATCGCAAGGACAGCGCCGCCGCTGATGCCCACGGTTGGTCCTGAAATTCAGTGGCCTTAGACCACCAGAACCGAGCCCTCCCGCCGCCCGTAGCTCCTCGGAACATTTCCTTCTTAACGCGCACTGCTGAACCCTCTCAGGTGGGTCAGACAATTTCTCAGGGCAACGAATCAGGCGGACCGAGGAACAGATGAGACAATTCGCAAAACGCTGAGCCCGAGCGACTTATTCCAAGGTCCTATGACGGATCGATTATTATGGGAATGAGTGGAGAAGCAGGCTCTTAAGAAAGCTGCGTTTCCGCTCGAAGTGTTTCCTTCGATTCAGTTCTCAGACCACCGCCGAAGCTACTCCTCGATCAGCGCTTGCTCGGCTCGCCCCGAAGTCGATGTCTGTCCATTAGCCGCTGTTGCGACGGCGACGACCGTTGGAAGAATGCGGCTTCGGAACACACTTCGTTCATGTCGCTCCCGGCCGCTTCTTGCCCGCTCCCTCTCACTGCAGGGCTTTCTTTTTCCGGCATGTTCCCACGTCGCACGCTAGTGGTTGCCGGTAAATTGACGCGGAGTCCCAGCTCCGTCCAGCGAACAACGCGGCCGCTCCGAAAAACATTCGAGATTGTACGGCCATCGCCATTCGAGAATCATCGTTTCCGCGTGTCGGAGCGACCGGCCCGACGTCCGATGTTATTATTATTATGGTCGTCGCTGCTTTCCCCGGCTGATGCTCGCTCGGAAAGTGAAAGATTTCAAGCATGATCGGATCCTCTCGGATTACGCTCGATGCCAGAGGCGGAACAGACTAATTCCTTAGGTCTTAAACGCGAGCACTGCTCGGGACGGCCGCGATTCGGGGGAGCTTTTTATTTGATTCTCGCAATGGAAATATTTACGCTCAGCGTCCGAGGAATTATCACTAGACGGCCACGGAAAATTCGCAATCTGCATTCATACGTCCTCGAAGAAGGATGCTCCGTGATACTCGCTCCGGAGCCGAGGGAACGTCGCCGCAACGAGGAAGCCTCGCCACTCCGCAAGTTTCGTAAGCTCGAGCTTAGTTCAAAGATTTGCGAAGCGCCGCGGAGCTCCCTGAGCTACGCCGCAGTGACCGACACGAGCAGACGCGTACCGCGTGAAACTCCGAGACAAGAAGTTTCTCGGGAATGATAAAGGAGCATTTGACACTCCGTTCTTCGGCGGCTGGACGAACTCACTGACTGACTTACTGACGCAGCTTCAAGCGCAAATGAATATAATCAGGACGGCAATTCATCAGGACCTCAGCCTTGATGAACTCGCCGGCTGGCTAGTTGGTTGGCTTGCGGGCGGACCGTTACGTCGGTCGGTCCCATCGTGCGGATCCGCATGCTCGTCTTTTAGTCACCGCGTTCCTCGCTCCGTTCCCCCTTTATCTGCCGGTTAGCCCACTCTGAGCAGAAACGGGATCCCGCTCCCCCGCCTCCCTCAGCCGGAGCCTCGGTGGACTTTGATGGAGGGAGAAACTCATTCAGTCGGTTTTCCTGTCGGTCCATCCCAGGTTCCGATCCCCCCGATCTCAGATGACGAAGCTCCCTCCGTTCAAACTGACATATCTCTCAACGTGTTTCGGTGAGCTGCTGTTCCGTACGCAAGCCGGGATCTCTCCAGATTCATGGAAACCCCCGAGACCAGATTCCCGTTATCGGTTGACGTACCCAATTCATTCGAATCCTTGCTGAGATAAGATAGCAGGATTCATAGGAGAAGTGGGGCTACGAGTAAGTCTCTGAAAACGGTTCGCTGCCGTCCTGGACGCCGCCATAAAGCTCATGGAAAATGAGTCGTCACGGAACGAAACGCGGGGCGCAGCATGACTCTCACCGCTAACTGCCGGAATCTCAATGGCTGAGGACAATGACCCTTCGTTCAGAAACGCCCAGAAGAAGAATCTCGTTTCGTATTCGAGGGAGCGAGCAAGTCTATCCGAGCAGCCAAACGCCGAGCTACGCTCATCTCACGAACGTATAACGACGCGGAGCGCGCGCGCGTGAAAAAGAAAAATTCCGCTCGCCAGATCTGAGTTGGAACCGTCGGCGGGAGAGCATGAAGACGCAGCGGAGGCAAGAACAGCGTCTCGGATTCATGACTGCCATCTCCCCGAGATTAGACTTGTGCTCAGTCAGTCACTCTTTCTTTACTCACTCGACTTCCCCTCCCGGCTCTGCTCATCCTTTCTTGTTAGTTCCTGTGCGTTCCTTCCCGCGTCATTTCGGCGAATGCCATTGTAGAGCTCCGCCATCGCGGTTGATCGCGCGGCCGACGATGGGCTGCAAGGTCGCCGCTCCCGAGCATATCCGAGACCTTTCCCCGCAGGTCTTTCATTCGATCGCTCTTCGTGGGCATGTCCGATCATCGAACGCCGGGCCGTCCGTCGTGGCTGACATATGCTCAATAGAAGCTCTGGTGAGAGCTGTGATCTTTATCATTCCCGCCCCCCCCCTTTCCACTTCCCCCTTCTCCGTTCCGTTTCTCAGTCGGAGAATCGCGTTCAAAATTCCTCCGAACTTCAATCATAATCGGCAGCTTGTATCCACATCACGGCAAGCAGAAAGCGACCGGTCCGTGGCTCCCGCGTCCCTTCCCCGCCGAGTTCCCGCTCTTCAACGGACGTGGTGCCCTGCCTCCCATTCTCAGCACATCACTAGTGTTCCTTCCCTCCGGGCAATAATTCCGTCGACGGGCTTAATAAGCGCAAAAAGCTGGCTCCTCCGTCCGCTTCCGCACCAGCGAAACTCGTTTCCACCGTGGGGCGGGGGGAGTTTAACGAAGGCAAAGGCAGGTGCAGGGAACACGAAGTCAGGAGCTCCTACGAGATGCTGGCTCCTTTTCTGAAACGTTCTCTGTCGGCAGACCGCTTGGCGGTGTTTGAAGCTGGCCAGGTTCCCCCAGGCTCGATATGTTTCGAGCAGAGCGTGATTGTGCGGCTGAAATTTCAACAATTTGTTTCCACCGAGTTTTCCCAACTTTCAGCGAGAGGAAGCCATTGTTGGTGAATACAATCTAAGTTCAAGAAATGGAATGCCGGGAAAATACGAGTTCGGAATGCGTGTTTGGAAGCGGTGCTATTCTCGGATGTCTCTGGTTTTTTCTCGTACCCGACCCGTGAACGGCTGAATCGAACGTTTATCAGCAGATTCTCTGATCATACGGGACCATCAATATTCGGACCACTGGCTGGCAGCACGTTTTTACGTTTCCCCGATATGCAGTTTCTCTCAGGCAAGACTAGTGCCTTATGGATTTGTCCGCAGAGGCATTCAGAATCGATAGGAATACTTGGAGGTCTTATAGAGAAATCGGGATTAGACGATGTTTCGTGGAGTGGAGCATCGAACTCTCGCCAAGAATATCGAAGCGATGAGGTGGAGTGTAGAAACCCGAGGATCTCGGTCGGCTCCCTTCTGGAATCGTCCATCCGACCAGGTCTCCTTGTTCATGAGGATACTTAAGCGAGTGAGTCGTGTAGACCGAGGCTCGTAAAATGAAACCTCCTGGGGCCGACATCTTCAG